AAAAATAGCATCTGTACCTTGCAGCTCTTTCAGCTTTAATTCACTGTTATTATGTGGGAATTGATGTGGTGGTAAGGTATGGGGGAAAGAAGCATTCTACAATCTTCTGATTACATTTCAGTCTCTTCTTGGACCTGTGTCCCTGGGCTGTAATCGTTCCAAGTATTTCTTAGCATTTCCTCCACGCTTCTTATGAGACAGGAAGGATAGAGAGGGTTAAAGTTGGGTAATTGCCCTTCCCTCAAAGTGAGACTGGGCACATTTCAAAAGTAAACCTTTCCCTTTTTCCTGCCAGAGACTTGAGAGTTTTTTGTTTTGTTATGTTTTGTGTCTTCCATGAGAATGTTGTGATATTCCTCGACATATAACCCACAAGAGTAGAGACCCTCACCTGACTGCATCCCTTAACGAGTTCCTCACTCACACTAATCCACACTCAGCCTCAAGCAACTTGTCAGAATGACCATTTAAGTATTCCTACCAGTTTATGGATGGCAGGTAAGCTGATCGCAGCTGTCATTTTTTGTTATTTTCCTAGCTCTTCAGATTTCAGGGTGGTAGAAATTGCCCACAATTTTCTGACGGACCAAAGAGAAGTTACTGATTTTCAGTTTGTTCTGCTTTTTCCTTGTTGTAGGAATGTAAGTGATGAATTCCCAGCTCTTTCCATGCTGGAATTGAGAACAGAAGTTGAAAAGTTTCTAAAAAGCTTCCAGAAAAGAGAGGGGAAAAATGGTCACATAAAAAGATCAGGAACAGGAATGGCATCAGGCCTGCTTACAGACAACACTGGAAGTCAAATATGGCAACTACTATTGCCAAAATGATAGAGCCATGCCTTCATAATTCTGAAGAAAAATGGTATCTAACATAAAATTCCATAGCCTGCCAAACTATCAACTGGGCATGAGAATAGAATAAAAATATCTTTAGAAATTTTTAGATATGCAAATACACAAAAATTTTTATCTCCATCACCTTACCTTTGGGAAACATTATGTTCAAAATGATCAAAGAAGAAAAAAGAAAGCTTGGGTGCTGCTGTCTTTCAATCTTGTGCAAGTATTTGAGTTTCAAAACAATATGCATGTAAAATGTTGATTTTTTTTTTTTGAGACAAAGTTTCAATCTTGTTGCCCAGGCTGGAGTGCAGTGGTACCTCTCGAGTTCAAGTGACTCTCCTGCCCCAGCCTCCCGAGTAGCTGGAATTACAGGCATCCGTCACCAGGCCTGGTGTAATTTTGTATTTTTAGTAGAGATGGGGTTTCTCCATGTTGGTCAGGCTGGTCTCTTAACTCCCGACAGGTGATCCTCCTGCCTTGGCCTCCCAAAGTGCTGGGATTACAGGTGTGAGCCACCATGCCTGGCCTCCAAAATGTTGAATTAAAAAAAAAAATACTTAAAAAGAAGATGAACTTTTCTTATGGACAGGTTGAAAACTGTTTAGTGAGAACATTAACTGAAATCACCTCAATTAATTCTAGCTTGGAATGTTTATTGACAGAATAGTCAAAAAAAAAGAGGCGAAGACTTTTAATACAAATTTTATTTTTATTTTTGTATTGCAAGTGACGAATACTTGTAAACTAGCCTTTTGACGTCGACTTTCAAAGGCTCTACATAAATGATTACACTGAAGAGACACCTTTTGGAATGTGAAATAATTGAGCTCATCATGGGAATAAGTGTTTGTGGCTGGGTTTTTAAAAATCCCAGAGGTCAACACATCACAGACAGATAAAAAAAAGTATTAAATTTCAAACTTGTGCTGTGGAAACTATTAAATGACTCTGGTCATGACAGAATTATTAACAATAAAGATTCAAGTAAACAGTTTAAATAATATTGTTTCATTAAATAAGGAAAAATGGTGCATTACTAAATCAATGTTATTTTTTATAACTTTATTTTAAATACATATTACCTAAATTAAATATTCCAAGAAAAAGAAAATTAGCTATCAAAATGTTTCCCAAAAACATCTTTCATTTTCATTGAGGAGATGGCAAGAATGAAAGCAAGGTGAACTCATCATTCCTTAAAAGCTGAGGCCATGACTTAATCATACTTGCATTCCACGACCATCTGACTGAGGAAGTCTCTCCTCCCTCTCTATCCGATCAGCCTGTTTCTTTCCTTCATAGCACATATCACTCCCTGAGATTTTCTTGTTTATTTATTGGTTTATATGCATCAACCAAATGTAAGCCTAATGTAAGCAGAGCTCCTGCAGTCTTGTTCACATTGGAATACATTCTCAGTGTTACGCAATGCCTCTCAGATTATTGATATTTAGTAAAAATTAATCAGCTGAGCAAAAGAATGAGCAGCTGGTAGACCTGATAAACAATGTGCACTAATTAAATATTTTTTTTACAAATGTGGGGTCATCTTCTGATCACTGGAAAGAAAATTGCTTTCTAACAATTTTTATGAGTGATAGTTTACAATGCTCCTGGTATTGAAACCTGAAGACTCATAGTGGAGTTGTAGCTATTAGTAGCCTGTGTCCTCTGAGAAAATCTCAAATATTTTATAACCATCCTAGTTACAGTGAAAGCATGGTTCACTCTGCCGCTACTGCATAAGATCTGGCACAACAGACAATACATGGAATGTTAGATATTCAAAGCACATAACTCATTTACTCACTTCAACAGGGCATTTTGCTTTACCACTTTGAAGCCAGGTTATTTCTGGTTTCACTTTCCTTGAAACACTTTGATGGCTCCACAGTGACAATGGAAAAGTCTACAATGTTAGCATGGAAGACAAGTCCTTCCAGAGTTGGCTGGCTTCTTCTTTCTCACTCCCTGGTTTCTCTCTCATGAACCAGGCTCTAGCTGTAGCAAAGAGCTTCCAGTCCCTGAATAAGCCAGGTGGTTTCTCCCCTCAGCGCTTGGGCTCACCCAGCTCCCTCTGCTTGGAAAGCCCACCCTCCCCTCCACTTAGTGGTTAAGACTCCACAAAATCTTCTCTAGCGCCTTCTGAGGACAAATGGCCAACCCCTCTTCTGGGTGAAGCCCACTACCCTCACTTACAGACTTCCTATAGGATCTGGCTCTAGGTTACTCCGAACACTGCATCTCCCACCACTCTTTCCATTTTTTACTCCAGACACTGGCCTCTTTACAGTTCCTCAAATCCCCGTTTTCATTTGATAGGAGGAAAAAATATTCCCTCAGACATTTACACAATGTGTTCTCTCCTGCATTCAGCTCTCTGCTCAAAGGTAAATTCCTAGGACAGACTCTTTGACCACCCCAAGAAATGCCTCCCTTCCTCATTTTTCTAAATAGAACTACCTCATCTCTAGCCTTTACCCTAACTTACTTTTCCTTTGTAGTACTGATCGAACATTATATATTTAGTATCTGTCTTCCTTTCTAGAATATAAGCTCTGTAATGGTGGATCTTTGTTTTGTTTATTGCTGTGAATGTGAATGAATGAATGACTGAGTGGCACTTGTGGCACTTGATGACACATGTTGGCTTGAGATTTTGCTCTCTTCCTCTGTAGGAGTTGTATCCTATGTCTCTTAGTCTCCAGTTCCTTCCTGGCACAGAGTAACTTCTTAATATTCCTTCTATGACCAAACGACATCAAGTATAAATTACCTCTAACAATTGTTTCCAACAAAGAGACTGAATCCATGTATACTGCATAAGGTGAAGAACACAGCTATATTTCCACAATCCCTTTATCTAAAACTCAGGACCAGATGTGTTTCAAAATTCAGAATCATGTGTTACTTAACACCTCTGTCGGAGTCAGTATCTTATTTTCAAACACATGAAGAGCTTTGCAACAAAACATGTGAAGAGCCCTACTACATGTGATAAATAATGCTCAAGTCAGCTTTGCTGCCAAGTGAGTTGTCAAGATAGATTTCCTATTATGGGGTTTTGGAAGTGTGGACAAGGAGCTGGGGATGCTTATTAACATATGGAGATTGCTGAAATATCGCCATACTAACATGGGTTTCCCATAATCCAGAAGGTTAAAATTACTGATTTAATACATTAGTTTAAAAAATCCATTTTTTCATTATAGCTAACATCAATGAAGCATTTACTTTGTGTCAACCTTTATGCTGAGCTCTTTAGATACATATGTAAAACTATTTTTTGTCCCATTTTACAGGTCAGGAAACTGTGGTTTAGAAAGAGGTTTAGTATCTTTGCACAGGTAACTAAGCTGGACCAAAGGTGAAACTGCCTCACAATAAAAAGCCATGCTGTTACTTCATATTGCACAAGGTAAAAATTCTTTAGTTTTCCCAGTTTCTTTGCAATGCTGAGTCTTAAGAAAAGTCTCTGTAATTCAAGTGAATGTGAAAATCCTCAGGCTATGAGTTCTCTTTTGTAAAAACAGGCTGGCTGTATGTAGTCAACATTTAACTGATATTTGTATAATGGAATAATATATTTTCTCAGCTACATCAATATTTAAATGTTTGTAATGAGAGATCAAGTGATTTCAGATAATTTAAAATATAGAGTCACACTAACTTGCCCTGATTTCCTTTGTAGAACCATGATCTGCAGAACCAAGGTCTGCTGTTCCCTGATAGATGAGAATAGGAATAGTAGAAGAGGCCATCAAAAGGCACTAATTATAAATAATATGTAGATTTTAAATTTACCTTTGTCAAGAACACTTTAGCTGCCTGAATTTTTCAAAGCCAGACAGAAGTTGATAAAATGTATTTGTGATGACCAAATTTTGAAATTCCTTTGGAATTACCAAATATAGCAGTGATAGTTGGCATTAAGAAGTCACTTGTATAGAAACAATAAAGCTATATTTAAAAAGTCTTTGCATAGGTCTACAGCTTCACCTGAAGACACAGTGTTTTGGACCATTCCACACTCATGGGAAAGCCTCAAATTTTGAAATGTAGAGTAGCAAAAACACAACACACAGTCATTTCATGGTACAAAGCAGATACTATAAACATGAGAATTAAGAAATGAAAATAACATATACACTAAAAACATCACAACAGAAACAGGCTTTATTTTAACCAGACAAGTGAATTCTTCAATTAGCATCAACTTCTTCAAGACTTGAAGTTATGGAAATTAAAGATGGTGCTCAGAAGGCAGAGAAAGGAAGATTCATCATGGAGTAATTGTACTGTTTTTCAAAAATCCCTTTCAACCATAAGCTCAATACACAAGATTGCTGGGTCTCATGCATTCCAATATTTGTACGTGACCCTCATTTGAAAGTTACCCATCAGTCTTAATGCAATCTTTCAAAAAGAAAAAATATATAGATCAGTATAAATTATTTTTAATTTTAGAAACTGAGATTGAAATACAGTTTTTAGTTTAAAATATTAAAAATGAAAAAAACTTTAACATTATTAAAGATGTCTTGTTACAAAGTTCCTAGGTATATTACATGTACAAACAAATAGATATTGCTACCTGACACCTCAACCCATGACTTACCCTAAATCTTCTGTTATGAACAGTTAATCTACTGGGAGGCTTTCCCCAATGTAAGTTTCAAACTTCTTGCACAAAGATTTGCTGCCATTCATATTCTGTGCATGGATGAGGACATTTCATCATAGACTATTTCAACTTAATATAACCTAGATAAAAGAAATCCAATGAAACACTATATTTATGAGGGATAAAACAAACTTGCACATAATTTGCAACTTTTGCCAGACTCATTAAATTCGTTAACACATTCAGTCTTCTCTTCACAGACATTTTCGAGAGCTTTAGATCTTGTGCTTAACTTTGTATTGAGCTGGTCAGCACCTTGATTGATATGAACAATTATGTCTAAAAAAGGTTACAGGTAGGGGGAGGGAGATCATCCAAGGACAGAAACAGAAGGAAGGACTCTCTTTTTTCATAAGACAATTAAAACGAAAAACAAGACAAAAAAGGGTAAACAAACAAATAACAAAAGTGTTCACAGTAAAACATGCCAGATTTGTAGTTTCATTTGAAACCAACAGCAAATCATGAAACGTCATGAAAAATATGAGTCAAGATAAAATCTCCTAGAGTAATTACTAAATGAAGTTAAAATCATCACACTGATCAGTAAACCCCAGAAGAAAAATGAACAGCGCTTACATATCAGGTCCTTCTTAAACATCACACAACTTTTCAAAGTTAATGCATACAATTGGTAGGTTTGGCCACGCTGCACCATTTTTTTAAAAAAATACAGTATACAGAAAAAAACCTTTTATATTTCCCCATTTTGAATCATTAGCTCAAAACCTAAGAGTAAAAGATCATCTGGAAGGATTTTAAATTATTTACAAATCCAGCAGGTTCATCTGCCATAATGGCTTGGCTTCCGTCCCAAAGCGACTTTCACCTTCTACAGCAGCAATTTTTTAGTTTTCTGTCCTCTTGGGAGGCTATTTCCTCCACTGCTTGTCTCTACTTGTCATCAGTCATTTTGAAGAGTTCCAACAGTGCCCCAACAGCTCCAAAATAACCCTATGAAAACAATAAAAAACAATCATCTCTGAACCTTTGCCATATACCTATTGTTTTTAATAATCCTAGGAATGCCACTAATGTAGATAAAAGAGAAATTTAAAACCTAAATTGTGTGTCATGAAAAATGGCAGAATGATAAAAACAACTATAATTTATTGGACACCTACTTATAAATAAATTTACATATGGAACAGCTTAGAACTGTGTCTGGCATATGTGTGCTAAGCGTGTGCTAGGGGTTGTTGGTATTATAACTATTTCATCTTCATCTTTATCATGGTAAAATTCTGATTATTATTTCACATATGAGAAAGTAATAAAGTAAATTACCCATGCAGGGTCATAGGACTTACACCAGGGCTCAACACCAAATCTATCTGACTTCAAAGCTGTATTTCATGGGAGAAAACCCTAAGCTTCCCGCAGTAGCTCTTGCAAAGGTACTTAAATTAGCCCAATCCTCACTTTGCCCATCTGTAAAATAAAAGCCCACATATCTATGACAATGAAAGGAATTAAAAAATATAAATTTTTAGAGAACTATGTCTTAGTTTGTTCAGGCTGCTATATATAACAAAGTACCATAAACTGGATGGCTTACAAACAATAGAAATTTGTTTCTCACAGTTCTAGAGGCCGGGAAGTCTAAAATCAAGGTGTCTGATGAGGACCTATTCCTCATAGATGGTTGTCTTCCCATTGCAATCTCACATGGTTGGATTATGTGGTGGAAGGGGCAAGGGAGCTCTCTTAGACTTTTTTATAAGGTTGCTAATCCATTTCATAAAGGCTCAGCCCTCATGACCTAATCACCTCCCAAAGGCCACCTCCCAATACCATCACCTTGTAGATTTGGATTTCAACATACAGATTTGAAGTTGGTCTTGGCATAAATAATCAGTCCACAGCCATTTGTTTCCAAAAGGCAGGAGACTCCATTCTTCTGGCACTTGCTGGACTCAATAGTTAGGACTGCAGCAGTAGGTGTTTAGTACAGGCAGGATGTGGACAGATCTTTGCTGCTGCTGCTGTCAGTTCACATTTATTGAGGCCCCACTAATGCTAGAAGGTGTTCTAAGCACTTTATATGGATTTACTCATTTACCCTTCACAATAACTCTATGAGACAGATAGGATAATTGCTCATTTTACAAATGCTAAAACAGAGATGGAGAGAAAGAGCCATTGTCTAAGATTTCACAGTCAGAAAAAGGCACTTAACTGCCTGGCTAGATGACTTCTCTTAAGAGATGTTCAGTAACATTAGTTGAGTGAATGAGAAATTGAGTGAGGGTTCCTAAGGCCAGGGCAGGTGATCAGAAAACCACCATATCAGTGCTACTCAAAAGTTCTCTCTTCATAGTATTCTCTAGTAAGGCATGTGTAAGCCAGAGTGACCTTAAGAATGTAGAGAGTTTTCTAAGGAACACATTATGAGGGTTATAAGAATACTCCGTTTTCACTGGCCATAGAGATTGAGATATGATACAGGGTAGCAAACCAAAGCCAGAGTCCACAAAGGCTTAGGATATTATAGGGTGACACAGGTGACTACACTTTTACCTATAGAAGTGGGTTTCCCCAAAATGTTGGATTTTATTTCTTATCTTACCACCAACTAACTTCCCATGTGATGTTATAGAAAGAAGACTTTCTATCCCTGACAGTTTCCAGGCTTTGTTGTCTGCATTAGGCCAAGAAGATCTGGACTTATGGTTACCAGATATGACACAGATAAATGCCAGATAAAATAACTGGGCATCCTGTATTTTTTATTGCTAAAAATGGCAACTCTATCTGGACTAGAACAGGAGTTTTCTTTTTCCTTTTTAATTATTATTTTTTTAAGACTGAGATGATTTTTTCTTTTTCAAACAAAACCTTACATGGAAACTCCATAAATAATCAGATACTCTGGATGTTGGGGGTGGGGAGTGGAGGTTCTGGGACCTCATTCCCCCTCACTCAATGCCTAAATCCTGATTTAAAAACAGTAGTTATTCATTACAATTGAAATTGACAATACTAGCTCTCTCAATGTTTTTCTGCTGGAATATACACAAGAGATTAGATACCTTAAGTGATAGCTCATTATAGCACTGCAGCACTGATTTTAAAGGGGGTGACAGAGGAGGTGGAAGAGAGAAGGGCCCCCACTTTTTGGTTCATATTACAGTAGAAACTCCACATAAGGGACTCTGAATTTACTGACACTCTCCATTTCCTTTGTAAACAGGTTCACTAATAGTCAGGTACACTGACCTCTCAAGGCCAATAGGCTATTCTTAGTAGCCCAAGTACTACTGTTTTCACCAGCTGAGCTGCTTACTTGCCAAGAGTCAGCTGTGTTTATTCTTAAATTTGTTTATGACAGGTTGACTGTTAATGTAATAATATAGTTTAATTATCCACCACCTAAACCAATAAAAAGAGCACAAATTGATGGTCAGTTCTATGAAAATTCAGTTAAATTCTTGAGAAATATTGAAAAAGGTAGTCAGAAATCATTGCTGTCTAGGTGGATGTCACAACGTAAAAGAGAAAAAAAACTAAGAATTCTGCAACTAACTTGCTTCATAAGTATCTTTAACTTCTTAATCCACTTTAAGGAAACAAACTGGAAATCAAAGGAGGTGCATGATATTGTAGATTATGAAGGAAAGATAACTACAGGACTTCAACTGACAGAAACTAGGCTCAAAAATAGGTGTTGGTCTCATATCAAAAGATTGGTAAGTAAATGCACATTTACACATTTTATGGTAAAATACAATGGTTAAAGAAAGGTATTTTTAAATGATTACTCATTTTATCTGACTTCAAACCTTTTAAAAAACGTTATTATAAATTGACAACTTATAACCGCATATATTTATGGGGTACAAAGTGAGGTTATGGTTTATGAATACAATGTGAAATAATTAGTGAGATAATTAATATGCATATCACTTCAAATACTTACATTTTTTGGTGAGAATATTTGAAATTTATAATTTTGAAATGTATGTTCCCATTTCCCATACCCCCCAGCCTCTGTAACCACCATTTAACTCTCCGCTTCTATGACTTTGATTGTTTTAGATTCCACAAATAAGTAAGAATATGTGGTATTTGTCTTTCTGTGCCTGGCTTATTTCACTTAGCATTATGTTTTCCAATTTCATCCATGTTGTTGCAAATTATAGAATTTCTTTTTAAGTGCTGAATAGTATTCCATTGTGTATATGTACCACACTAAAAAATGCATTCATCTGCTGATGGACACTTAGGATGACTCCATAACCTGGTTATTGTGACTGGTGCTGCAATAAACATGGGAGTGCAGACATCCCTGATTTTAAATCTTTTGGGTAAATCCTCAGACATGGGACTGCTGGATCATATGGTAATTTTATTTTTAGTTTTTTTTTGAAACCACATGCAGCTTTCTATAATGGCTGTCCTAACTTACATTTCCAGTGACTTTAAAAAAAAATAAATTAACCAACTACCCATCCTGGTTGTTGGATAAGAAGGCTTCCATTTTACACACACTTTTTTCTTATCCTTTGTGTAAATGCAAGTATAAATGACAACTTTTCTACGTGACTAATTTAAAAAACTAAGAGACCTGCTGATATGTTAGACAATCTAAAATATACTCCACATATAACAATAACAAGCTCAACCTACCTCATGTTCCAAAAACAGAGCTTTTAGTTGTCCTTTGGACCAAAAATCCATGGCATATGCTAGCAGCTTCATGGAGACCATATTGATTCTGAGAAAATTTCCAACAAACACAACTCTGTCTATATTCTAGAAAAAAATGTTAAAGGAAACAATTGAATCATGGCATAAAAATAGCATTTGGCAAAGACCCACTGTTCTGTATGTCACTGTACGGAACCTTGAAGAGTGAATTTTCCTTTTTTTTTTTTTTTGGTGCAATTATTTCAACATTGCCAAAATGAAGTTAAACCAACCTTATAGTGCATTCTACAAGAACAAGAGGATAAGATTTTAGTTGGGCAGGGCAGAAACTGATACTGGACTTATTTGCAGGTGTTATGTCAGACTGCCTTAGGTTTGCTATGAAATTAAGCTCCCAAAACTCACACATATGTAAAATTTTACCTAGAGTTCAAGTTCAGCTAAGTTTTCATGTGCAATACCTCAATCCCCCAACTCCTAAGTATAAAAGACTCTTATAACCAACTCATAAATAAAATGGCTATGGTATGGTTTATTCATCTAATGAATAATGCTCAGTTTGCTCTGTGCTGGACACTAGAAATACAAGAAAGAAAGAATACTCAGTCTCTGCCCTCAGGATATATATGGTGGTATATCCTGTTTGGTTAACACATAAGTTAAAATATGGTAGCAAAAAATACTCTTTTTTTTTTTTGTCATCATGGATGTGGCTTTGCATTCTGTATACAAACTAATGAACATTCCTCTCCTATCCTGTTCATGCAGACAAGCTTCAAATCCCATAAGCTTCCAGCTCCAGTGCACTCATTATACTCCCCACTCCCCCAGATACTCTTAAGCTCGAAGCTGAGCTCAGTCTGTCTAGCTCACCTATCACTCACTCACTCACTCACTCACTCACTCACAGAGCCAGTTGCTAGGGTCACTCATATCAAAGGTAAGAGAGTCTTTGAAGATGGTTATTATTTTCTGCTTACTCTCTCAAGAGTAATCAGGGTTTGGTACCATCACCTTTTAATTGCCCCAAGTTTTAACAATGAATGTTCATGAACCCATTAGCTACTCAAAATTTTCTGTGGGTAGAGGAGGAGTGGAGGTACTTTTAA